AGATTTGACCCCCGCTTTAGCCCTTGGACAAGTCGTTTTTTAAAAAATTTCCACACCCCTGTATACAGTATCTCACAGATAGAGTACACCCCTCACATTTTTGTACATATTTTATTATATCATTGAAAAAACTATTCAAAACAGGTCTACCTCCCCCCTCCACCCCCCAACCACAGACAGTGGCTACATGAACCAGCTTGAGTGTAATTTCAGGACACAGGAGTCGGTGGAAGAAACCAGAACGTGCGGCAAGAGGAGCGGGTATTTCACTCACCTAGTCAAATACTCACAAGGGCTGGAGAGAACCCAAGTAGTAGTGTTTGAACCAGGGATGCACCCATACAGGTTTTTCAGTATCGAGTATGAGTACTGATATTTTTATTTCGGTGCTCGCCAGGAAGCAGCTCATGACTTGCCGACCGGCTTCCTGATTGCCTGGGAAGTTGGTGTTGGAAGCCGGACGGCGGATCATGACCTGCCACGCGGTTTCCTGACTGGTTAGGCAGCGATACGACTATCCACAGTAATGAAATAACTGCCACCCCCTATATGACCCGCTTTTTTTTTCATAGTGAAATAACCCCCCCGACTATCCTCAGTAATGAAATAACTGACCCCCCTATATGACTATCCCCATAAATGAAGTAAATGTCCTGCGCCTACCATCACTCTATAAAAAAAAAAAAACAAGCAGACAGCAACGACGAACGACACAGGGGTATAAGCCATATAACTTAACAGGTTTTACTTCCACTGAGTCGGCTTCCTCCCTGCTATAGCACCTCCTGTGCCTCCCTTGTCCTGACCTGCCCCTGAAAAACAACCATTACCTGGGCATCTTTGGGCGCACTTTTAGGGGATGCTATCTTCGCTTGCTCCATAGTATCTGACATCAACTCCGAACTACTTCCGGGTGAAAGTAGAGGAAGCAGTAAAAGAGGGCGGAAGTGCTGCTCTGCAGGGCTAGAGCGGCCATCATTGTTGAGGCAGAATGGCAGCCTGTTCTTCCGCACAGCGCCACCTGCTGGATGTTAGGCCAATGTTCTCTGTATGAGAACCTGGAGGACCGTAGGCGCTGTGCAAGATGAGCCTACAAGGTGACGGCTCCTCATTGATTGAACGTTTCGGTGCTATTTAGAGGATTGTTGAAGGAAACCTACTGAAAGAAAAACATGGGCTGCTATTTTTTTAACTCTTTCTGAAAACACTAATTGCCTGTCTTATTGGTTTTCTGGCTTTAGTAATTTCAGTAGCACTGATCTGCAACAAGTATGCCGATCAGGAGTTCTGACTTCACTGGCTGCATGTTTGTTCACTTTAGATTTGCCAGTACTTCTGTATAAGACAGAAGGAAAGTGCAACATGGTATATCTTCAACAAAAATGTTATTACAAAGTAATGTCTTATCCATCTGAGGGTTTGCAGAGCCATTGGGCCTGCCCATCTCTGTGACCCTCTTTTCAGGTTGGATGTAATCTAAGTGTCACATGATCTCAGTATATATACACCCGTGTGCAATCTATGTGTCACATGATCTCAGTATATATACAACTGTGTGCAATCTAAGTCACATGATCTCAGTATATACACACCCGTGTGCAATCTAAGTGTCACATGATCTCAGTATATATACACCTGTTCTAAAGGCCCCAGAGTCTGCAACACCACGGACCGAGGGGCATCACCAAGCAAGCAGCATGAAGGCCAAGGAGCTCTCCAAACAGGTAAGGGTTGGGTTATAAAAAAAAAAATCCAAAACTTTGAACAGAGCACCATTAAATCCATTATTAAAAAATGGAAAAATATGGCCCCACAACAAACCTGCCAAGAAAGGGCCACCCACTAAAACTCCCGGACCAGCAAGGAGGGCATTATCAGTGAGGCAGCAAAGAGACCAAAGATGACCCTGAGGGAGCTGTGAAGCTCCACAGCAGAGATTTGAGAATCTGTCCATAGGACAACTTTAAGCCGTACACTCTAAAGCTGGCCTTCATGAAGGAGTACATGAAGGAGTACATGAAGAACCCCATCCACACAGTGAAGCATGGTGGTGGCAGCATCATACTGTGTGGATGTTTTTCATTGGCAGCCTATTACTCCAGAAGAGAGTCATCCGTGCACCGAATGTGGATTGCGGGGACGCATGATAGGCGTGAGCTGTGCACTTCGTGTTTTCAGTCTACTAGATACTAGCGCCAACAGTTTGCGCAGCGCTTTACAATGTAAGGAAGACATTACAATACAATTCAAGACAGGATGGTAAGGAGGGCCCTGCCCCTGAGGGCTTACAATCTGAAAGAGGAGGGGGAAATGATACATGAGGAGGTAGCGGTGTGGGGATGAATTGTTTAAGAATGTGATGGTTCAGTGGTTAGGTTGAGGAGGGATAGGCTTCCCTGAAGAGATGAGTCTTTAGGGAACGCCTAAAGACAGTCAGGGTGGGAGATAGACGGACAGGTTGGGGTAAAGAGTTCCAGAGAATGGGAGAGACTCTAGAGAAGTCCCGGAGGCGAGTATGGGAGGAGTTGACTAGGGAGCTGGAAAGCAGGATGTCTATGGAAGAGCGGAGGGGACGGTTAGGGTGATATTTTGAGACAAGGTCTGAGATATATCCGGGGGCAGAGTTGTGGATGGCTTTATACGTTAATATTTTGAATTTTATCCTCTGGGCGAGTGGAAGCCAGTGCAGGGATTGGCAGAGGGGGGATGCAGATACTGAGCGGTTGGTCAAGTGGATGAGTCTGGCAGCTGCATTCATGATAGACTGAAGGGGGTATATCCTGTGTAGTGGAAGGCCAATGAGGAGGGATTTACAATAGTCAAGACGAGAGATAACAAGGGAGTGGATGAGTAGTTTTGCGGTGTCATTGGTGAGGAAGGGGCGTATTTTGGAGATGTTACGAAGGTGAAGGCGGCAGGATTTGGAAAGTGATTGGATGTGGGGAAGAAAAGTGAGGTCCGAGTCAAGGATGACACCTAGGACCTTGGCATGAGGGGAGGTTTGGATAGTTGTGTTATCAATCTCAACTGAAATGTTGGGGGAAGGTGCACGGGTAGGAGGAAATATCAAGAGCTCAAATAATGCAGCACTATGGACCCCACATTGTATGTGGAGACTTTAAATGGCTTCTGACTGCCAGAGCATAGTGAGGAAGAGGCTGCGGGTGCCCGTTCCATAGACCTGCATAAGACAAGAGGACGCCGAGGGACGGTCCACCAGCCAGAGGAGAGAGGTGAGTGCTTACTGCGCTCGACAGCAGTCAATCATTAGATCGACTTTTGATGAAGAGACATGCTGGAAAATTTTTAGCAAGAACTGCTCGGTTATTCTGACAGTGGCCGGCACCATTGTCAGAATAAAATGCACAGAGTGGGAGATTTGTTTATCCACTGTTAGCGAGGATGGAGGGACCGATCATATTTTTTACAGACTGAACGGGGGGAAAAAAGGAGCGTGTGTACCAGCTTCAGTTGCAGACATGTAGATTGCCACCTTTTACTTAAGTGGAACCTGAGAATATACAGGAGAAAGCGAGGAGGGACAGCCATGACAGAGAGCGAGAAGAGACAGCCAGGATTGAGAATGAGGAGAGACAGCCAGGAGAGAGAGCAAGGAAAGACAGTCAGGAGAGACAGCCAGGAGAGAGAGCGAGGCGAGACAGCCAGAAGAGTGAGGAGACAGTCAAGAGAGAGAGCAAGGAGAGAGAGTGAGGAAAGACAGCCGAGAGAGAGCGAGGAAAGACAGCCAGGAGAGAGAGCAAGGAGAGACAGTCAGGGGAGAGAGCAAGGAGAGACAGCCAGGGGAGAGAGCAAGGAGAGACAACCAGGGGAGAGAGTAAGGAGAGACAACCAGAAGAGAGAGCGAGGAGAGACAACCATGAGAGAGTGAGGAGAGACAGCCAGGTCTGTGCACTGAGCGGCACATGTGCGGCTCTGTGTACAGTAAAAGAAATTGCTGACAGCAAGAAGCTTTTATGGCAGAAGAGACTTACACAGTCCCTTCTGCCATAAAAAGTCTGCCAGGTGCCATTTTTTTTTTCTTTTACTCTACTTTAACCTTTTGTGATATAACAGCATCATCAGCCTAAATGACAGAGTGAAGATAGATAGCTTAGGTGGATAGATGGCTTATTAAAGAATATTTATCTTTCATGCTTGATGTAAAACGCAATAAAGACACTCTCTCAAAAATGGTGACAAATGTGATTTAGCAGAGGTTAATGGAGTGTTAAAGTACCAAAGGGCATGTTTTAATCCACTAATTGAACATTAAAATACATTTTTATCAAATAAGGTGAGCCGCCTGGGAGCATTAGTGGCAGTCTTTTCCTATTAGAGAACAAGCCTAAGGGATGAACCATGCATAGAAACCACTTGAAATAATACATTGGCTAAAGCTGGGAAATGTACTTCGTGGCATTCTCAAACAAGGATGCCACTTACTGCTGTACTGTGCCAAGGTGACTTGGCACATTTTAAGCATTGACCCTACATTTGATGGGACCGCTGGCTATCAAGCGTATTCCGACGGACTGTTCATCAAACAGCAAGCTCTGGCGAGAGGAAGAGATGAGTGTTAATAATACAGATAACAGATCTGCAAATTCTACAGATTATACTGTGGATGGGACATCTTCTTTGTTTGAAGCTAAAATTCTCATACCGGTTACTATCATTTGCATTGTGTTGTTTGTGTTGGGCGTGACAGGGAACCTGATAACAATTCTGATATTTAAAAGGTACAAAGACATGCGGTCTACGGTTAACATGTACCTTTCCAGTATGGCTGTCTCCGACATTCTTATTTTCCTCTGCCTGCCATCAGACCTGTACAGGATTTGGAAGTACAAGCCTTATATATTTGGAGACTTTATCTGCAAGTTTTTGATTTACCTGAGCGAGACCTGTACATACAGCACAATTCTTCACATCACCACAGTGAGCGTGGAGCGATATCTGGCGATTTGTTTTCCCTTGAAGGCCAAGATTATGATCACGAAAAAGAGGGTGAAAATCATTATCGGCATTTTGTGGATCATTGCCTCGGTAACTTCAGGACCAGTTTTATTTCTGTTTGGTGTAGAGCACACTCATGGAACTCAGCCTGCAGAAACTATAGAATGCAGGCACTTGGACAGCTCCACCCAGAGTGGTCTTCTGCGCATTGCCATATGTGTATCCACCATATACTTTTTCATACCCACTTTCTTTCTCACGCTGCTTTATGGACTTATCTGTAAGAAGCTTTGGAGCAACACGAATGACATTCAGGGCCCAACTGTCACAAACAGAGGGAAACACCACAAACAAACTGTAAAAATGCTAGGTGAGTTGATTAAATTGGTAAGATTTGTGCACAAGAAAGAAACAATATACTGTAAATAGTTTGAAGGGAAATTGCCTGGGTTGTCACTAGCAGCCACATTCAAGTTGCCATCCTTGTGTTCGGTTACTATGACGCACATATTTACCTTTTATTTTTCTTCTTTAAGAAAGACACCCATAGCTCATGAAGAAAAACCTTACCAATCATTTGTGCTCTGCATGGGTCTGTACTTTTAAAAAAGTGAGCATAAACTTTAATAAGGGCTCGTTCCCACCATGTGTATTGAGCTGCATTTTTCTGCACACCACCATACATGTATGGTGTGAACACGGCACATAGAGAGCAATTGCTTTCTATGTGTCCAGATCACACCATGCATGTGCAGAAAAACGCAGTTCAATAGACATGGCGTGAACAAGTCCTAAAGGGCCGGTACATCCAAAAGTGATATTTTAGTTGTAAGTGTAGCTTTGTAAATTGAGTGATCCTCTGACTTTTGATATGTTCTGGCTACTAAAATAATGAGATCTCCCTGTTGTTATTCTCAACTTTGTTCCTGTCCACAACACACTTATCTGTTCTAGCACCTCCTGTTGCATTCTCCATAATACACTATATTTATTATTTATTTCAGGTATTTATATAGCGCCGACAATTTATGCAGCACTTTACATAGTTGCACATTCACACCAGTCAATTATTTGTGGACACCTGACCATTACACCCACCTATATGACCAGAGGTATATAAACACTCATTGAAAGTACTGCATTCAGGTGTTTCCAGTGAAGGATGTTGGTAGTGCTACAGCATACAAAGACATTTTAGACAATTGGGCTCTTTCAACCTTGTGGCAACAGTTCAGAGAAGGCCCTTTTATATTCAGGCATGACTGTGCTTCTGTTCACAAAGTCAGCTCCATAAAGCCCAGCTCCATCATGCTTTGATGAATTTAGTATGGGTGAACTCGAGTGGCCCTGACCTTGATCCTACTGTACACCCTTGAGATTAATTGCAACTCTGATTGCGAACCAAATCTTCTTGTCCAACATCAGTACCTGACCTGCCAAATGCTTTTCTTGCTGAATGGGCAAAAATTCCTACTAACTCCAAAATCTTGTAAAAAAAAAAACTTTGCAAAAGGAAGTTTAATGGAACTGCAAAGGTTGGGGGAAACTCCATAATAATGATCATGATTTTGAAATGTGGTGTCCAACACATTATTAGTTGTCATAATCAGAAGTCCACAAGCCTTTGGCCATATAATGTAACATTTGTTACAAAAAAAAAAAAAAAACACTCGGGTACAGAGATCTCACCAACAGACATCTAAGATATTGTCAGGTGGTTTAACTCTCCAGCATCTACCAAAACAAGAAAAAATTTAAAGCACATGCTCCATGTTAAAGTGATTGCCTCCTGGTGTAGATCACATTATCTCAAGAACATCTTGACATTTTTTTTTAGCTGCGCCTCAGTGTACAAATGTTTTCCAAAGAATCCCTTAAATATTAGAAATAGCAAGGGAGCAGTAAAGCTGATCCTGGAATGAAAGTGTTCTTCCTGTCTGTGCAGTAGGGCAAGGTGTGTAAATTACAGCAAGAGTAGCTAACATTACAAATTTGTTGGCAAAAAGTGGAAATATATTCGTGTTTAGCGGTTATCCCAGAGTTCCACCATGAATTAAAAAAGACATACATTCAAAAGAACTTGTTGGGACAGAAAAATGGGAGGGTATACCAACGTGTTGAATGGAATGAGTGATGATATGAAACACTAAAAGGCATATTGATAGATTTTAGATTCAGGATTTTTTGATTTAAGAGCACATTGCTGGACACATTGGCCAGATGAGAAACATTTCTCATCTGTTCGTCATTTGAAAGAAGTGGTTACTGTACCACTGGGCTTACACATAGCTTTAAATGATAAATCATAAATTAGCAGTGGCAGCTCCCATATTTTTGTCCGGACAGGTTTTCTATGACCCTTTCACTGCCAGACACCACTCTCTAAAATACCCCCCAAACCAAACCAGAAAATGTATTTTCTGAAAGCACAGGTTTAAACAGGTTTAAACACGCTCTCTGTTGGGCTCAGAGGTTATTTGCCCAAATAAATTCAATAGTTTAAAGTTTTAATAAGATATATAAAAACAGCAGCAACTGTGCTTTGAGCCACATTGCCAGCAGAGTAGTAGACAGTTTGCCCTCCTCTTTCCGTTGCTGGTTCTGTATGTACAGATGCAGAATAGGGATATTGCCTCTTTTAGCTTTTTCACTGCAAGCCTCTGCATGCCTTATGTTGCTATGACCTTTGACCAGTCAGTAGGGAAGCACAGAACAGTTGGCCTACAGGGGAAGAGAGTAGAAAAGTTGGTGCTGATCAAAGGTACATTTTCATATCATCAGGATGCATGGTCTTTCTTTTTGAGCTACAACAACACCTGCCATAAATGTTAGAAATCCCTAATCAAAGGAAGTAGGTGGGAAGAGGACTCACTGCAGGATGGATGCGCATGTTTAAAGGCAGCTATGTTATCCAGAACCAACAGACGCAAAACGTCCTTAAGCAAGTCTTCAATTTCATGATAAAGACCAGAAACACACCATTCATTTTAACTCCAAAACATTCCATTCTAATGTGAGTCAGTCCATAAAACTAGCATTCCCGTATGTCCATGAGAGTGACCTACCCTGTGATGTGATAGCATTTACTTGGGAAGTTACTAGTAGGAGAAAATGTGCAAAATACATTTTTGACAGAAATAATCCATAAATTTGAAATCCTAAACAAGCCATCCAAGTGTGACAACAAATAAAACAAATAGTATTCCCGTATGACCATGAAAGTGATGTACTCTACACTGTTATAGCTTTTTCTAGGGAAATTTCAACTAGAAATAAAGACAATTTATGGTTTCGTTCTTCAGACAGGTCAAGGCTTAGTTTTCTGTCCAAGTGTAAAGAACACACAGCAGCCGGATGATCAGAAGCTTTAACAGCAGAATGCAACAGCAACTGCACAGTTCATCTTTATTCTGCTGAAATCTTTTTCATAACACAGTTCTTTCTATTAATAATTTACAGAAAATAATTCAATCAGAAGATATTTATCTTATTATATCAATATATAAAACCCACTTTGTGTGTATAAAATACCTTCACAAACCTAGGTAATACCCTACTAAAGTAGCAGTGATATCATTGCTGTGTTATACATAGCCTATGTAGAGATTAGTGCTGTTGGAGGGACCCAGCAGGTCCCGCCCACTGCAGGCTGCCTGTAGAAAACTACAGAAGGGGGTGGATATAAGACCAGTTACCTTGCACAAGGAGAGAGAGAGCAGAAGTGACAATTTTGAAACACCAAGGCAGTGTGCATGAGATGTTTTGTGCTATATTACTGCATAGATCTGGAAGAACTACATGAAGGACTCCTACATTTAAGTAAGAATATACACTCACTGGCCACTTTATTAGGTACACCTGTTCAACTGTTTGTTAAAGTATATATCTAATCAGCCAATCACTTGGCAGCAACTTATTTAGGCATATAGACATGATCAAGATGATCTGCTGAAGTTCAAACCAAGCATTAAGCTGGCCATCCATCCATAGATTATCTGCAGATTTTCTATGGTCAGATGGAAAAAGTGCAACAGATTCCTCCATCTACGCTAAACCGTGTGGATGAAGGAATCTCCCATTGGGCCAAGCTTCAGTATCTTGCTACCGGTAGTCGGCCCCGCTGGCTCTCAAAATACCTGAACAATGCCTGCATCCAGATTGTTCAGGTATTTTGAGAGCCAGCGGGGCCGACTACCGGTAGCAAGATACTGAAGCTTGGCCCAATGGGAGATTCCTTCATCCACACGGTTTAGCGTAGATGGAGGAATCTGTTGCACTTTTTCCATCTGAACATAGAAAATCTGCAGCTAATCTATAGGTGTATAGCCAGCTTAATGGGGAAAAATAGGTGATTTAAGTGATTTTGAACATGGCATTGTTGTTGTTGCCAGAAGGGCTGGTCTGAGTATTTCAGAAACAGATGATCTACTGGAATTTTCACACACAAGCATCTAGAGTTTCAAGAGAATGGTCTGAAAAGAGAAAATATCCAGTGAGTGGCAGTTCTCTGGCCCGTAAATGCCTTGCCAGAGGTCAGTGGAGAATGGGCAGAAAAAAAAAAGATGATCAAGCACTGTATTTATTAGGGATACACCGATACCTGTTTTTTAGTACCAATATATATTTTTTTCGGTATTCGCCGATACTGAATACCAATACAGGAAGTCCCATTAAGGAAGCCGGGCGGCTTCCTGATCACCTGGGAAGCCGTCTCCATGCACCAGGTTACGAGGGAGCATGGACATGGCATCCCGGGTAATCAGGTAGCCGCCCGGGTTCCTTAATGGGACTCCCGGTATCGGTACCGTAAAAAAAAATAACGGTACTAGATACAGAAAAACAGGTATCAGTGCATCCCTAACAAATGCAATGCTAATAATATTTATATTTAAGGAAATAAACTGAAATAAAGGGGCTGCCAATGCCGATCTCCTAGAAATTGCCAATGGTCAGGCAGTCATGCAGCGCACAGAGCAGAACATGTACACAACCAGCAAAGTCAGAATTACTGACTGCATGCTTTTTACAGTTTAGTGGTTCAACACACACACAAGTGAAACTATTATATGAGATTGACAGTCAGCCAAAAAGTATTTTCAGATAAAAACAATTCTGCATCATCAGCCTCTATCGCTCTCCATGCAGGTTTATAATAGATTGGTTTCACACTTGTGTGCTGAGGTTTTGGAAATAACACACTATGCACACTTTAGTGTACTGCAGTGCCAATTATTTTGTATGGCACCCCAACCCACTAAAGCAATACACCTGCATTGTCACAATGCAGGGTAATGTACTACCATGTATCGTTAAACGCAGCAACACAGGTGTGAGCCAAGCCTTAAAATATATATAAATCCAAAACGTTTTTGCCCCTTTTGGATAGAGTAGGGAATGGTTAAAGTCTGTCAGTTTTTTTATGCCATCTGTATCCCATTCAAACAGTTTTCCACAACTTCCTGTCCTGTAAACACAACAGGAAGTGTGGCAAATCTACTCTTAGACAGTTGTCACCAGAACAACTTCCCATTGGAAGATTTCCCCCCTTTTACTGTTCGTGGCAATTCAAAATTTTACCTCACTTTCACTCCCAGGGACTTTACCAGGACAAATCGAGTGAATCTCCCTAGCTTCCATACTCTATCCAAGACTAACAAAAGTTTTGCCTCTAAATATACTTTAAACTCACAGTATGCTTCCATTTTCTTAGAAACTTGAGTGAAAGTTATTTTAGTCATACCCATATTTTAAAGGTCTCAAGAAAATGTTTGGCCATTTCTTTAACCATAGTCATATTCACTGAAATATGTCAAAACTCATTAGTCAATCCATAATGTCTCTTTATTATTTAGTGGATACTAATTTATTTATTTTTTTAAATGTCTGTTAACTGGAGTATTTTGAATTGTCTGGGATCAGAATAGCACCCAATAAAGCTTTTTTTTGTTTGTTTCTTACAGCTCTTGTCGTTCTGTCCTTCGTGCTGTGCTGGCTTCCTTTCCACATTGGTCGTCTTTTGTTTGTCTGGGCTGGAATTGGAGAATTCATGTTTTATGATCTTACACAGTACTTTAACCTCATTTCTATGGTTCTCTTCTACCTGAGTGCCTCCATCAACCCCATGCTGTACAACATTATGTCACAGAAATACAGGGCTGCCATGAGCAAGATCTTGAAACCAAGACAAGATTCACAGCTTAGGAACACCACAAGGAGTGAGCAGGCATCTTTGGAAGGGACAGAGATCACTTCTTTTAAGTAATTTCCTCAAAGTCCAATAAAAAATACATAAATTACAGCTTGTCACTAAAATTTCATATAGGCTGTAATGACAAAGTTGTTTTCAATCCTTTTAAATCTGCAGCTTTTATTAAAATAACACCTAGTGACCATGCCATGACCTTTTTTCAGGTACTTCCTATTATGGGGTGACAACCGTCTCCCAATTGTGTAGAATTCTAAGTTTTACTGCTGTATCCATTCTGAAAAGATCTCCACTATCTTCCTGCCCCAATTAGTACACAGACCTGTGAACCCCCATACCCAGTGGAGTAACCAGAGCATGCCACCTTTGTCCTTGTACCCCCCCCTACAATGCCATTAAAGAACTAAGAATAGAACATAAAAACTTTTTTTTTTTCTAATACTCACCTGATTCCTGGATCCACCAACAAGCGCAGCCTCCCATCTCCCACGCTGTTAGAAGCTGCATACAGCGTGTGCTGGTTACTACCTAAACCAGCGCGCGCTGTGTGCAGCTTCTGACAAGATACGCTATCAAGATACGCTATACAAGCGTAGCGGGGAAGGCGGCTGCGCATTTTGCATCTCTCCAGCTACGCTAATAGCGTATCTTCTCAGAAGCGGCACACTGCGCATGCCGGTTTAAGTAGTAACCAGCACACGCTGTATGCAACTTCTAACAGCGTGGGAGACGGGAGGCCGCGCTTGTTGGATCCAGGAATCAGGTGAGTAGTAGTACATCCCCCCCACCACCCCATTGCACCCGGCCGGCCAGCCCGCATCAGACGCGGCTCTGTCATCGGGCGGCCGCTCGCTCCTCCGAGGCCCCAGCGGGGGGGCCCTCTACAGTGCCTGATTGGGGAGCCGCGTCTGCCTGATCCAGCCAGCCCGGATCGCCGCTATGCTGGCTGGATCGAAGAAGATGGAGATGGTATATGTTCACTCTCTTCCCGATCTATTGAGCCGACGTGTGACAGTTTAATTGTCACACATCGGCTCGAACTAGAAGGTTGAGTGAAAATCACTCACCTCATAGTTCTCCTTTAATGCAACGTATCCGAGTGAACAGGTGTTAAGACCGCCTAATGCAGCCATTTCATCTAAAGGCTGGTAAACAATCTATTACATTTTTCTTCTTGGGTTTAGGTAAGCTACAAGTCTGTTCAAAATAAACATTTCTTGTATCTTGCTTCATTAAAAAAAAAAACCCTGATATAATTATGGAATTAAAATAGGCAAACATTTTTAAGAACGGTTTTTATACTTTTTATTAGACATTAAATATATTATCTATTTAATAGTAACAATTTAGTAATACATATGCATAAGGTATCTTTATATTGTAGAAGATACTTAAATTACAATGAAAAATACAAAGCAACATATATCTAACAAGAACACCACTAAAGTACATAAATCTGGAATGTATAATAACCTGTAAATGAAAAAAAACTAAACCATATTTATTAAGATCAAAATGGGGCTAATATTTCCATATTTGCTGAAGATTAAGTTTCTAAGTTTTTTTCAGAATTATCTTTTTGAAAAACACAGAAAATGTATATATCCCAGCTCATCACTTAATAAATGTGGCCACCGATATTCAGTATAAATGAATGGCAGTGTACTAATGTAATCTGTAACGCTAAAAGCCTTTTTTTAATAAGATGCATACTGAAAATTGAAATGTTATTATGCATAAACATATATTAAAAAAATATTTAATGCTTTAGATTGGTTGTCAAAAGGTGAGTTTTCTAAAAAGAAAAAAAATAAAGCGGAAAAAAAACCTTTGGCAATGGAAAGTAAATAGTGAATTTCAAATGTGTAAAGGTAAAAACAAAAATGGAATAAATGTAAACATGCCTGTAGACTAAAGAAATTGATGTGTGTACAAAAACCTATGCATAGACGGACATACATACACACACATACAGACGAATACAAAATGCATTGAACCCGTTCCTTACGAGATGGAACATCACAGTAGAGTTAGTAAATGCTTATATAAGATTGAAAAGGATTTTCACTTTGAGACAGTTTTCTTTCTTTCTTTTTTTTTATGCTACAGCTAACAGTACATTAAATTTTACACTTATGACTTTAAAAATCAAAAATAAATAAAATACCATACAAAGTATATTTGTGGAGAAAACGTTTTCATTTTTTTAGATTGCACCATACATCTACTGTAAAGAAAGTGGCAATACACGTCTCTATAAAATGTTCATACATGAAATTATACGCAGGAATATTCATAGATGATTGACATGAAACAGAGAAATACATAAACCATTTAATATGCATCATCCAATGCACATAAATACAGATTTTTTTTTCTTTAGCGTATGTTTTTGCATAACTGCAAATTGCTGATAATTCAACAAGACCGCCCAGGACAAATAACTAGCATTCGGTTTGGAGCACTACAATATTTATCTACAAATAATTTCATTGTAGAACTGCAAATAATTTTTTATCCGTTATAAAAGTGGAGGAGTCTGGCCTCCCAATTACAATTTCTTGAAACATAAAAAAAAAAAAAATGTGTGACTTAATTTTTTTTTTTTTTAGACTACAGACAGTATAAAAACATTTGCTCAGTTTGAGCCAAATAGTGTAACATTTATAATAAATGCACTTTTTTTTTTCCTCCAAGAAGATACATCTGTGCTTTTTCAGAAAGTGCTGCATTATATTCTTGAGAAGCACAGACATTTTAGACATTTTGTAGCATATGAATGAAATGCAAAGCAGGAAATAATGAATACAGATACAAAGTCCAGGTATAGAGGAGGGTATTAAAGGCAATTATATTGCAGTGGTACAAGCATTATTGTGAATTACACTCGTCAATGGAAATTGAATAATGAATGCTTAAATGAATGCTATGTGATAAGCTGGCAAGGGGATTTAACTGGTACAGCCTATGTGGTACACAAACAGGACAACTACAATTAGGATAAAGAATAACTAAACCGAAGAACGAAAACAAAATGCAACATTCCATTTCATCAGTGGTGTATTCGTTTTTAAGATCATTTGCAGCAAGTACAGAAAGTACCTGTCGATCTTGCCAGAAATGCCGTATCCCCGTCTCTTCCTGAGAGTTGAACTGGAAGCATAAAACAATCTGATCTTCCTTCTGTAAACTGTCTATCTCCCAAATAATGAAGAAATACAAAAGCAGATATGTTTGAAGTCCCTGACAAGAAGTGTGCTATTTTCAGGTTCACCAGGTGAAAATAAAGCTTGAAAAAAACACAAAAACCTAATCTACTACATCCAAGGATTGGTAAGCTGCAATATATTACATTTGACCTTTTTGGGATTGGATATACTTAAGAATGTTTCTAAAACTATACTCACCAGCCATAGCAAAAGCAGTGTTGGGATGCAGGCTCTACTGACATCACTCTATTCACTAGGCATTAGCAACATATAAATGAAAGACAACCTTGCCAAGTTAGCTCCCAGAGAAGGTGCAGACAGTACTCTTGTGATTTATTTTAGATCATAAAAAAGGCTGGCTGCCCTAAAGCTCATGGTGGAACTTACGGTTTTCTTTTCCTGGAAATATATAATTTACATGGTTTTCAATATACAGATACAGCTGACTTTGCAATGTTTCTCTGGACACACAGATAACCAGTCTTTCAATATATTAAAGCGTATGAATAGCCAAAACTTTTTAGTATTCCATAAAGTAGGGAAAGGTTGCTTTGTGCCCCCCTTGGGGAGATTTCCTTTCACTTCCAGTCCCAGAGATGCAACAAGGAGTGTGTGGAAATCTTTGTAAATGCCTGATTAGGCATTTGACAACTGTCGCATTCTGGATTTCTCATCCCTTTTTGTTTAGTGACAAAGATACCAGCACAAAAATATAGGAGGGTGAATTTCTAGAACGGAAAGACGGTAATAAAACTGTAAAAGGAGTTCCTGTTATTCTATAACCATAATTCAGCGATAAAAAAAAAAAAAAAAGACCACTTTAAAGCCTGCAGTGTGGAAAGGGTAAGAAGAAATTGGGAATGAATATACTTCATATAGGGGGGAGGAGAATCCAAAACAAAAATAGCTGAAGTTCTACTTTAAGCCCTCATTCACTGGGGTAACGGCCGGCCCGTACAGATCCGTGCTGCGTGCCCGGTCATATGGGGCAGCTCCCGGGTGTGATTATACACAGCAGCCAGTCCTCCTCTATGGGAGTACGCGGCCGTACACAGCGCTACGCTCACCTGACCTGCATGTCTGTACTGGTGCGGGTGTCTGTACTTGCACGCTGACAGGATGGATCCTGTCTGCGTCCGAGCAGGGACACCTGCACGGACATGCAGGTCGGGTGAGCGTACGGCTGCGTAACGACCGCATACTCCCATAGAGGAGGACTGGCTGCTGTGTATAATCACACGCAGCACCTGTCCTTCCCGGGAGCTGCTCCATACGGCCATGCACATTGGAAATGTGCACAAACTGATCAATGTATAACCAAATATAGCTCTCAATCTGGTGCCTGTCCTACCACTCACAAGGAAGTGAGTCAGAAAAGGACCAACCATGGCAAGTGTATTTTTGTTGACTCTGGTGTCCAAAATTTTCATATTGCAGTTCAAAATTGAACTGTCAAATAATGTTGTCAATGTGTATAAATGTCTTTACACTACTGATGAGGCACAGCGGGCTCAGAGGACAAAAGCATAATTACAATTTAGTTTGCTAAATCCAATATCCACCACTCCCAAAAAGGCTTACTTGCCTTTAGGCCTGGTTCACACTGAGCGTTTTGTAGCGCTTTTTCTGCCCCCAAAAAATTCCCATTCATTTCTATGGCCCTGTTCACATCTGAGCGTTTTGTCGCAATAAGCAAAACGCCTGTCCCTGGAAAAAGTACATGAGCTTCTTTTTGGCATATTACAGCTCGTATTGGCCCCACAGACTCAATAGGAAACGCTTGAAAGCACATGCAAAACACAGCAAACGTGCGTCTGCCCATTAACACCAATGAGCTAGAATATGCTCACAAAAAACGCACGTCTTGATTTATGCGCATAAGTCTAGGTTCACACTAAGTCGATTCGATGGCCGCACGGCTACGGAAATCGCCCACCATCACCAATTGCACTGGCGGTGCCAATATTTTCTAATGGCACTCCTGTCGCGTCGGGCAGATCGGGCACTGCGATTCCACCTGTGCAATCAAACACGATCACAGCTAAAAAAGAAGCTTGTGTGTCACAAACAAAAAGGTACATGTACCTTTTTTCTGCGATTGCTGCGTGGATGTAACCCAATTGAGATCAATGGGGCTGCGCGACAACTGCTGTGTGCAACTGCTCACAATTGCGCAGTCCCTGGACGCGCGTCCCAGATCGCCCAGGTCAGCACCAGACCTCATCCGCATGTAGAAACACGCAAAAACCCTGTTGCCTAGCTGTGAACGAAGCCTAATTCGAGATCCACAGTTTTCTATGGTGTTTCCAACCTGTTGAATGAGCACCGCACAAGTCTCCTTTGACCTAAATGGGGCTGTATACAGAGGTTCTCCAGTCTCTGTATCCAGTTCCATTCAAGTCAAAGGGGGCTCAGTTCGCAGGTGCGGCCAGTGCTCTTTATTTGATAGGCTGAAAATACCAGAGTAGGCTGTGGCTCTAAAACAGGGTTAAGTAAGCATCTGGGAGAGGAGGGGGGGGGGGGGGGGGGGGGTCTAGCGCAATTATCCTCAGGGGTAAGGGTGTGTAGGGTGGATTCAGACAGTTAAATGCCCATTTTTTGCTGCAACCTGTATGCCAATAAAGGATTACACAAGTGATAGTTATGTTTGTGAATTAAATATTTTCAGCAAAATTGTTTTCAAAATAAAGAAATGATGTAAATTACTTCCAGACCGTAGCAAATTGAGTCTGTTAAAAAAAATAAGGATATGTGGTAGTAAAATATCATATGTTGGTTTAAAATCTGTAGTTTAATTCTACATCAAAGGCGCCAACACTCGCAATGTGAATGTTTTGTGGTGTGCAAACTGGCATTCAGTGTGAAGTTCCTGAGTATATATTGATGTGCAATCAACATTTTCAATGGTGAACTTGGGTGTCCTTAACAATGTCAGGTAAGCCCTCGTAGAGAACTTCCTTACCAAGTGTGGCACCAGAAAAAGAGAGTAAACCACCAAGACAAAAGTAATTGATGAGTAGGTTTACTGTACACACTTTTAAAGGAAACAACGGACCTGAAAGTACCATAGAGGCTGCCACTGCTAACCTCTCCTTCTGGAAATGCTAGTTGTCTGGTTGTCATGCCAATCCAAGGGTTTCTAAATGTTTAGAGTTGCATTTCTATCTGCCATGATCTACCTGTTCAGGTTAGGGACAGTGAAAATGTCAGCAACATCATCCTCAAAGTCACCTTCAAAGGGGTTTCACTTTCAGCTTCAATTATGATTATGATGACAACTGCATTCCGAAGCGTCACAAAAGTAGAAGCACTATTTGTGACTGAGGATGGTGCCGCCAGTATCAGCAAACGTGTATAGATGTCACCAGCACACCAGAAATCCTTTCAGGATCACAAATTGTTCATTTATTGGAGATTCTTGCTCTCGGGGCCGCACAGGGTCCCTCTATCAGGCTTAGCATTGACGATGGCTTGTTTCATGACAAGAAGCTCCAATAAATGAACATTTTGTGATCCTGAAAGGATTATTGGTGTGCTGGTGACATCTATACACGTTTACAAAATTAGCAGCAGTCGGGATTCAATTTAAATAAAATTCTCGAACAGAGCACATCATACTTCACGTCTGGTGCTCAGTTTCTTGCAGCTATGAATGACAAGGTCCATTTTGCATTCTTTACTAAATACATGTGCAGCTTTCTATGCTATTATTATTCTAATACAGTTTTGCCTCTACAAATCAACAGTTAAGTTTGACAAGAGGAGGTACTAAAACAGACTCATCACCTACACAAAACATACTGAACCTAAAAGCCTGTACAGACACGGCATGTAGCACTACCTTACACTTGGTCACGTGTAAAACTTTTTCAATAAACTCCTTTTCTAAATGTCTGTATTATCTTGCAATCAACTATATCCATAAGGATGTGCGCAATCTATATACCGGAAAAACTTGCTCATCACTTATGAAATCCTACTGGCAGTCATAGAATGCACCAGTCTCCCGATGGGCTCTGGTGACATGCAAGTAAGTGTAATAACTATTTAATAGGTTGATGGGGGTGTTATTCAACTCCATCTAGAAGCGAGAAAGATGCTATACAATAAGCATTTCACCTGCCAATGGTAGGAACAAGCAGCATTTCTTTTTTTACTAGATGGCTCCTGGGACTTGTCCATCACTTACCCCATTGGTTTCTCAACCTTGCTATAGATACTAAAGGAAAATGTATGCAAAGTCAAAACTTTGTATTTTAGTTTTGGGTGGGGGTTGTCACCCATCTGCTGGTCCTGACCAATGTCATTAAAACAAAAAGGGGAAATTAAAATTTTAGAGCCGTCACCAAAGAGTTGATCATCCCATGGGGAGAAATGTTCTGGTGACAACTGTTTACAAGGGGAAATGCCCTCACTTCTCATTTCCGGTTGTATTTCCAGCACAGGAGGTAAAGGGAAAATGACCTAGTGGGATATATGTAAAAAAAATAAAAACAATTAATGGATCAGACTTTTAATCGTTCTTCACTCTATCCACAACTGAAAAAGTTTTGACCATACAAACAATTTAAACTATGACACACTCTACCTTTCTTGGTATACTGCCTGTGCCGCAGACTACATAAGCTGCATAACACCAGCAGTCCCAACACAGAGCTCTTGTTTTAATCTGTTCACACTTGTGTGGGTCCCTGAAGTTCACACATTCCTCCACAGCCAGTAAACCAGAGGACACTCAAAAAATGAACCAAGGTGAATGGAGGTAGATCACAGCATTGCAACGTTGTGCGTTAGCAACTGTATATGCTTTAGTCAGATCATGTTAATAGGCACAATTAAGCCCAAGAAATGAATGCTTATATATACAATGCTTGTATCTCACATCCACAGCATGAACATAAAACATTTTTATTTTTTTTAAAGAAAAAAAGTATAAAACATCCTCCAACACACATAACAAAAAAAATTATTGAAACATGCTACAATGCATGTACAAACTCCTGTTAGACCCACAATGAAACTGCACGCTGATTACAGAGCAGAAGTGTGAACAAGCCTTGCACCTCATTATTTAATAAAATAATCACAGTGCTTTATAACAGTCTTCCCCAATGCTCTTTAAAACTACAAACGTTGTTACACTAACAAAAGCCACAGATATCTGTAAAAAATAAGTCAAGGCAACTGGACTTGCAGTATTTTTCTTGAAGACGTTTCACTGGTCATCCAACCAGCTTTCTCATTTCAGAATGACTTGTACAAAAATTATCTGGGAATAAATATGGTGAATGATGCTCCAATCCACATAATCTGTTAGTCACAACCAGGTTTTGAATGCATTTCCATGATTGGAGTCTAGGAGGTGTGAAAGAGGCTATATATGTAAAAATGGAGAAGCCAAGCTTGAATTGTGGTGGTGGGGAAGAGACATACTCCAACTATGCAAATGCAATCAACACCTGGTTGTGACTAACGGATTATGTGGATTGGAGCATCATTCACCATATTTATTCCCAGATAATTCTTGTACAAGTCATTCTAAATTGAGAAAGCTGGTTGGATGACTAGTGAAACATCTTCAAGAAAAATACAGCAAGTACAGTTGCCTTGACTTATTTTTTGACAGATATACCATGACCTGGATAAATGAGAACATTCACAGACAAAAGTCACAGAAAGACAATAGATGAAGTGAAGGCACCCAGTTATTGAGGGCTTGGCAGCATTGCATTCACAAGGGAACATTTGCATTTCTTTTTTCAGAGTGAGTTATAACCAACTTTACTTTTGAATTAGCGAACACTGAAAGCAGATTCCTGCTGTATCGTACACCTGCAAGTAAGGACACAAGAAGCATAGGAGAAGGGAAATCTATGAGCAGGAGACAAAAACTTAAATTCCAACTCGGCTTCTACAAAACTTCCTTCAATTTAGCACAACAGCGTCACTGACTCCCTAAGTCAAAATGCTCAGCGCAACAATCGTTCACTTAAAAATGTTGATTACTTAAAGGACGAACCAACTTGGGTTATAAGTCACTTTCCATAAAAGAGCAATTACTATTTAGAGACCCAAATGTAAAAGATCCAGGAACTAAAAACTGGAGTTCTAGTCCTTGGGAGATACATTTTCGTACGCATACTGGTGACTTTCTATTGGCCATAGAGGCAACGGCATGATGCCTCTGTTGAGCCTCATTTCAACCTAAAATGGCTGAATAGTCTGCACATTTCAAACAATGCCAACTGTCTCAAACTTCATGCAGCTATGACACCTTTAACATATCTTAGTAGCATCAAAAAGTCTTTTACCTACATTCACTTGCCCTTTACAGAATTATCAGGAACTGAATTTGTCCTTTCCAGAATAACCATGAAGAAAAAAATGTGGATTAAAAGCTGTGCAATGCAGCATATTTGCTAAGCAGAACTAATCATATACCATTATGCTCTTCCTCCAACACTTTTAATATCTGTAAATGCTACCAAGTCTATTTTTATAAAGGTGCAGTTTGATTTCGCTCTTCTCCGCTAAGGCCACAGGTCAGTGTAAATACAGACACGGACACTTGTGTAACAAAACCTAATCCTCTTTTTGTAGGCTACGCCATGCAAAGCTCAACATTTAAAAGGGACGAGCTTTTAAAGCAAATGGTCCATTACATAAGCGAAGAGCAGCGTCTTGACCTTTGAGTGTATTTTAAGGCATTTAACACCATGGCTCTAGAAACAGGTTTGTACAGTTCCCTTTCTAAGAGTTGCATGATGTTTTATGTTACACATACAGGAGGATTCTACCAATCCAGCCTCTTAATGAGTGAGCAGCAAGAATGGAAATGCACTTATATATAATACAATCATTTCCATCTATAAATTTAATTAGAATAATTAAACATAAATAGCGAAAAAAAAAAAAATATCTGTAGGGGGTAATCTCTGGAACACGGCACTTAAAATCTACTTGATTACAAAGTACTGGATGATGATCGCAAAGAGGAATGCTACGAGAGCAAACACCAGGAGGAGCAAAAAGGCAAACTGCTCATCGCTGAGAGGCTTCTTCTTGATTTTCATGGTATCCGACGGAGCGCTAGCACAAGGCAAATCTAACTCTTGTCTTTGAGATGAGAATGTGGTGCTTGGGCTGTAGGGACCGTACAATTCTTGCAATCCATTGGTATCCTGGTATTGCCGTGCAGCACAAACTCTAAACCGATATTCACAGTTTGTTTGAAAGTTTGTGAAAGAGTACGAGGTGTCCGTTCCTTTGTATACCTGATGAAGATGGAAAATGATTGCGTTTAGAATGACAAAGAAGAATTAAAATTTTAACCAACATACCCAATATAAAACACAAGTTTAACATTTTTGTACGGTCTCTTTAAAAGTGGAACTATGGGCAAAAGCAACAATATAATTCATGATGTAATCTGTCACTAAACTCAGGCGTTAAATCATAAAAATCCATTCAGGTACCTTAACTATTAACAAAAAATGTATCTTATTTGTGTATCACTCAGCTGTAGATATTCAAATCATCTCTGAATTGGTGCTACTTTCGTTCCCCATGGTCCCTGTGTGTGTTGTAAAGTAGTCACCGCCCCAAGCTCACTCCCGTGATGGACTACAATCTCACGTTTAGTTTACTAATTTGTATTGAGATTGTAGTCTTTCACAGAAGCGAGCTTGGATCGGTGACTACTTTACAACACACACGGACCATGGGGAATAAAAGTAGCCACCCTCCAGAAGGAAGAACAGTGTCAGCACCAATTCAGAGATGATTTGAGGCTCTACAGCCGAGTGATACACAAAAAAACATAAATTTTTGTTAATAGGGTACATGAATGCAATTTTAAGATTTAACTCCTGAGTTTAGTGTCCCATTAACAGCAGTTTTTGGGAGTTAAAAGAAAAAAAAAAAAAAAGCTTATAAGCCATTATAAGAATCATTACATATCTGTAATACAGAAGAACTCCAGGACGAGCACTTATTAACCTTGCCCTGGGGCTAACACCGCTCTGGAAGGGTTAACTGCTCATTTCTATCTAGGTGCTAAAAAAAAAAAAAAAGTTACTCACCTGAACCGTGAAGCCAGCTTGCTCTTAGACCGATCCTTCCAGCCACGCTTCCCCTCAACTGCAGCGGTCTAAGGCCCCGTAAATGATCACATTCTATGCACTGTGCACAGACGTGAAGACTCAGAGGAACATTACAATTCTGCAGCGTAGGAGGACACAGGCTTCAGGGACAAGAGAAGCAGGGAGCCGGCTCAGAGATTCAGGTGAGTAACTTTTTTTTTTAGCACTTTGACCATAGTAAGCAATTAAATCTTGCAGTGGGGGGGACACACTGCAAGGGTTAATAAAAGTTTTGCCTGATGTTCTTCCTTAAAGGAACTGCTGGGCAAGTCTCAGACAAGTACCTGATCAACCTCTTTTCCATTGGTGAGCTGAAGGATGTAAACAATTGCATCTCCCCGCATTGGCTGCAAAGACTCCCAAGATACCTCACAAGAATTGCTGTCAATCTGCTGCGTTCTGGGTGCTGCAAAACAAGAAAAGGAGAATTATAAGGCGCCCTCACAGAAACATTTCTAGAAATTGGCGACCATTTTCTGAATATGCAAATTAAGTATTATATTAGCACAATAAAAGATTTCATATCTAACTATATAGTTGGGCTAGTTTGGTATGGTCCGGGGGATACCAGGGGCTGGTCTTTTCCCTTCTCTTGCTCTACCTTTTTCCTTGTTTCCTTCTCAGAGTGACTAGGTCTTCACCAGGAAAGACATGTAGACCATTTTTTTTAGAAAATTTCCTATGGCACATGCTAGTTTGTTTTGCACCTGTGGTTTGCAAAGTGCCTTTTGTATCACTGTGGTGCAAAACGGACTTGTTTACTATTGTCGCACTTACTTTGAATACTGTGTGTTCTATGTGTGTACGTTTTTTGCGACACTCTTGATGACTGCATCCTTTACGTTGCTGTATGTACGATTGCTGCTTTTTTAGAAAATGTAACAAAAATTCCACAATTATTTTTTTTTTTATATCTGCTACCATCACAATTCATGAGAATAATGTAATACTCTCTGTATATTCCTTCCAAATCCCACATTTAAATGTTGGTAGTGTTCTAGCCTGCACAGTTAATGCTTTTGTAGTTTTACAAGTCATGGCTTTAAAACCTGACTTCAGCCATTTTTTTCCCCTTGTCTTAGATTACATAAAACAGGGAGAAGTCAAAGCTAAACTCCAGGTAGATAAAAACACAAATGAATACCTTAAAACATTACTACATTTATTTTTAAATTCAACCAGTGAAACTACCTGAATAAGACTTGGCATCACCCTTTTGCAATCCCTGTAAAGAAGAACCCAAACTGGGAGAGGAAGATGCAGCACAAGGAGCAAATCAGTTGTGCTGCAGTGCTCATGTGCTAACAGGAGACATTCAGATAGGAAGAGAGAGCAGATCATCAGTTTGCTGCTTCTCCTTTCACTGTCCAGCAACCGGCTTTGGGAAGGACAAGACCTCCAAGTGTTACCTAACTGCAGAGGAGAAAGAGTATTTTCCCTGCAAGACAGGGATTTTTGCTTTGTGTCTCTCAGACTTTGTTCCGCAGGAACAGGTAAATGGTCAGTCCAGTTTTGTCGAAAGAGAAACCCCAAATCTCAGCAACCTCATAGATGTGTGGCAACCATGGCCAGTTTATCACCGCTACAGTATATACATTTAATCAAAGTATGAAAGAGGTATATAAATCCATCCTTGGGTGTCATATTAAAAATAATTTTACACCTTATAAACCGTACGCCAAAATGATTAAAATCTAGTGGTGATAACCTTCAGAAAATTGTACAAATAATACCTTTTAATGCCAGAGGAAGAGATTTGGTTGTGGCAAAACTGAAAACTTCAGAAAATGGCCCGTCTCCTGATTCATTATACGCCTGTATTCTGAAGTTATATGTAGTTGATTCATTCAATCTTTGCACCTTGTATGTATGGCATGGACCATTGTAAATTGTATAAAACCTAAAAATAAACCCAAAAAAGTTTTTTGTTTTTTTTTAGTACAAAGTAGGTTATTACAGTTCACTTGTAATGAGTGAATTTAATTAACGCCATGCAAGATTATTTGTCATTTGAAAGCATTAAAATACATGTAAACAGTTGCTAAAATCCCATATGAACTTGCATTCATGTACATTCAAGTGTCTTTTTACATTTGATCAAATCTGCAGCTTTCAATAAAGTAACAATACCCCCTCATCTTGCCATTCAGTTAGGGTTTACATCTACTTTAAATCTGACCAGGGTCTGTGGCCAACAGGGCTACAAAAACCTCCTCTCAGTCTCTCCCTCTCCATCTGAATGCCATACTCAGGCAGACACTGCAAGATCAAGCAAGGTTGTTGTGCTCCATGTTTAGATTATCTTAAGATAAACCTAAAAACAAATGCAAAGCCCATTTCTGCCTACGCGAAGGTTTTTAAAAAAACGAAACATATGTACACCGAACGTACATGAGGCAGACATATGCAGTTGCTGTATATGAACACAGAAACTTTGCCTACAAGCCATCTGTGTATACTACAACTCAGCTCTCTCTGAGCTTTCTCGCCCCCCATTCATTAGTATGCATAATGGCAACCCCCCCCGACAGTATATTGTGTGAGCTGGTGTTTAGTGTGCGGGTTACACAGGGAGGGGCTACAGCCTGCTTTACAATCCAACTCCAGTGTCCTTTTGAGAAAATTTTGAATTTCTGCAATCCACACCTAATAAAATAAAAGTTCATAGAAAAACAAAGAAAGCCTACAATGTGAGTCATGAAAATGTACACATATATACATCATCCCTGCACCTCTTCCTTACCACAATAAATGCTAATCACTTACAAAGGTGGAAAGAGACTAAGTACCCATTAGTGAAACTCTAGTCGGGACTTTTATAAAGGACAAAGTCCACAAATTACTCAAGTTGAAACTGAACTCTTTTTTTCAGATAACAAAAAAAAAAGCACTTGTAAAGTAAACCTTTGCAAAAGCCCTTTCTTTGTGACATCAGAAGAGGGGTATCCAGAAAAATTCAGCTTGCTAGTATTGCACATGGAACAACTAGTGCCAGCAGTCTTTGGTGGCACCCAAGCTGTGTATGGCCAATAATAAAAGAGGCCACTATGTAAGTTGAGCTTTTTTTTGCACTGTAAATGCTTTAAAAAAAAAAAAGTAAACTGATACGAACTACCAGGTTCACAGTTCATTTGAAGGAACAACTGCAACAAACTGGAAGTAATAAGCAAACATAACTGGACTGTTACAAGATTAATTAGTTGATTCTTTGTCTATTAACTGAGACTATTACTGAAGCTTGGTAATGTGGTCTTGTTAAACAGTAACCGTGTACACATACCCTGCTAATGGCAGACACGTGAGAAAGGTGAAGTGCACATTAATCAGCTGCAAAGCTCTGCCATTGTACTCACCTACTGAGTTTGTCCTCCATTTGTAGATTGTACAGTGATGTTTCGGTGGCTAAAGCTTTGCTAGATCCATCCCCCCATTTTAATTTAAGGCTCTGGTGACTGAAGACCACACATTCTAGATGAGGAGGGTTTGGAGGTGGAGGTTTTGTTTTGGCTTTAATATAGGAACTGAAAGGACCAGCTCCTAATAAGTTTATGGCCTGGATTCGTATTCTATGAAGGAAAAGACAAAACAAAGACAAGCAGTTATATAAAGTATAATAAATTATTACCTTATCACATGGTAAAATGAAACAATACCACCGCACAGACATAGAATATTGGCTCCAAAATTTTAACACTCCAGCCCTGATGAAGGGAGGCCCCTTTAGCCACTGAAACAGATTGGCACATCTTATCAAACACCTTTAGCTATGGAGCGGCGCTTTCACCTTCCAAACGTCTTCTATAAACACCTCCAAAGGGTCCCCAGGACTAAAGAGCTGCCTACTAGACTTCAAGTTTCTTCCATCACAAACTTCAAGTAATGAATTAGTACAGCACTACTCACTTTCCCCAATACACAAACTTCTATTGTAGTCTGTGTCCCCGTTGGGGACATTCACCCCCTATTTGTACTGGTGATCACTCCCACTGAGACAGAGAGGGGGAAATGCAAATTTGTCCCCAGAACAAGGGGAAATATTCTAAAGGGGACACCTGTACCAGAAACTTCTGTCTAAAACGAAAATTCCTCCAACTTTGGGAGATTTCTACCCACTTCCTGTTGTGTCTCCAGAAGAGGAAGTAAAGGGGAAATTTCCCTAAAGGTACAGACAGAAATAAATAGACAGGGGTTTTAACCCTTCTCTAACCTAAAAAAAAATCTGCTTTACCAAACACTTAAAAGTAAAAATGTCCGATGCCCATAACAAGCAAAGTAAAAAGGTTCACTTGGATGCTACCTCCCCAGTTTTCGCTAGCAAATTACCTGTAAGTACGGTCAGGTATAAGATTAGTGAGGATACAGCTAGTGACATTATCCACTGTGATCTGTTGCTTCTCCCCATACTCTATAGTGTATCCAGAAATCTCTGACCCATTGCAGCATGGCTCTGTCCACTGAAGAGCAAGGCACTCTGATGAGGAGGGAAGAGGAGTTTCCAGGAGCTCTTCATCAATAACTTGCAGGTCAGCCACTACAGCAGGTATTGATGGTGGTGTAGTAATAACTGCAGTGTCTCCAAACAGCCCAGTACCCGCTATGTTGCCAGCCTGTAAGATAAACCATAATAAGCCCCACACTTTGTACTAAAATGCAGTTACAAGGTTTCATGGACAAACATTAACCAGGGTGTGCGCTACATACCTGAACTCGACAGTAATATGTCGTAGCTGGTGTAAGACCTTTGATTTCATAGCTTGAAGAACAACCTGTATAAAGTACTTGCATGCAACCTTCCATGCTGCCCCACTCCAGTCGGTATTCTGTAATTTCTGCTCCATTACATCCAGGGACCTGAGAAGAAAAACCGAGAATGAGAAATCACACAAAAATATCAATCCCTCAGGAGTGTATCACCGTCTTTGTAAATTTCCCCATCCTACACAAAGGTATTGCGCCTGACCTATGGCAGCATTTTTTTATGGTTCAGGCATAGTCAACTATGTCATTCTGAGGATAAGGTGTGAATCTACCACAAAGTACAATTTTCTACCACAACAAAGGCTGTCAATTTCAATTTAGAAATGAATGACATGTAAATGACTACATTAAAGTAAACATGTTCTTTCCTTATGTAGGGAATGCATGAAACCGTGGGGGAGTGAAAGGAAGGGGAGCAAAAAGAATAAGAGTGTATGCTAAGGAGGAAGCCATCAGTTACACTGCATGGGCAAATCCCAGGTTCACATTAAACTGGAAAAAAAGTTTTTAAAGGAAACCTATGCTAAAAGAAATATGCAAGCTGCTATCATGGACCTCCTTCTGAAAATGAATTTCTTGGCAGTCAGTGGCATCAATTTCTGAGTTGCTGACCTAGAAAAAGAGTGAGTTAGTTCTAGCCATCTTTCCTAGGGCTAGTATTGAAGCCAATGATCAGCATGAAATGTAGTGAATGAGCATTTTCAAGAGATGTCAACAATAAAAGTCTACTTATTTCTTTCAACATGGGTTTCCTTTAACCAGTTGACATCCGCGGTGTTAAACCCCCTTCCCATCCAGGCCATTTTTCAGTATTCAGCGCTGCGGTACTTTGACTGACATTTATTCCGTCATGCAGCACTGTACTGAAATGAATTTTATACCCTTTTTTGGGGACAGATAGAGCTTTCTTTTGTCCCGCCGATCGCCTATATGTGAAACACCCGGTAACGGGTGTGTGCATTTAGCGGGTCTTTTCTGCCCGTGCGTGCCCGCTAGGGGGCGCGCGCGAGCAGAAAAAAATTGCCGTCTGGAGACGGCAACCCGCAGATGCTGCAGTGCCGTCCGTCCGTTTTTTTACTACGGGCGGACGGCAAGAGGTTAAACACCTTCATTGTTGATGTTTCATTGTGTTTCTACAGATCCCTTTTCATGGTGTCATGATTGTCTGTACTCTTGCCATTATACAATAAAGATTCAAATATAAACATCTAATAAACTTTATTGTTGGCAATGGTGTTAGTGTATAACCAATTTAGCAGATACACGGGAAATATCTGTATATGTAAGAGATAAAACAGTATGCTGCTTGAAATGAGATAAACATTTCAGCTAAACTATTTGCAGCTTTTGGGTCCTTAATTGAGCATACTGTGCAAGTAAGCAGCCCACAACATCCCTCAATAAGCAATATAAACAGATGGGGTTTATCCCATCAGTCTGTCGGATCTGCAGTTTCATTCTGAGTATGTTTACTAAAATGGCTGTCTCTCAAGCCTAATGCCATGACCGGATTTAGAAATTAAAAAGAAGTGCCTTTTGCAGCAATCTACCTACCTAAAATTATTATAGTATGTCCTCAATTATGTACACACACTCAGCGATCACCGAGTGTGTGTACCTGGCTCTTCCGACACGCTGTCACAGGAGGCTGATCGAGCGGTGTAGGGAGGAAAGCCCAGACTCCTGTGACAACGCTGTCTCCGCCCCAACACCGCTCTGCCGGACTGTGATAGGCGGCTGAGCGGTGTGGGAGGAGACGCCGGCGGCTCACTGCGCGCTCTCCTCTCGCAGCGCTCGGCCGACTATCACAGTTTCTCTCCTCCCGCCTGGGACACAGAGCAGCGCCCAACGGGGAGGAAATAAATCAGGGATGTTCCGATGTATCGGCAGGAAAATGGCACTTTCGGCATTATGCCAAAAGTGCCATTTTCGGCCGATATGTTGCGCCGGTGCATCCCTAAAAATTATATTAATAATATACAGCCCTAAATAACAGTCATGCGAATAGCTATCCATATCATAGGACAATGTTAACAGCATTTCCTCAAAAAACTAAAACCCCCTATTTTCCTGGGACCCTCTTTCCACAAGATATCGCCTGCCACAAACCATTTGTAGTACCTCCTTGAAATATTTGGGGGGACCTAAAACTGGACCATAAACACCCAATAATTCCGACAAGGCATACGATTGTGACCCAATTGTGGATTTCACCAGAAGATTGTGCTGCACTGTGAATCCTGACAGCTCTAAGCAGATAAAATTCTGAAGAGTTGTAACACAAGAGTTGGCCACAAACCAGTGAATACCACAGTGGAAGAAAATATGGAACGTTAAAAAGTGATAATTGAATCATTTTTTTTAACTGAAGAGAATTTCCAGTTAAATTGATATATTATCAGTTTGTGCGCACATGTAGTTTTTTTTTTTTTTTATTATTATTTGAAAGCCATTTACTCAAATTATAGAAGGGGAGAATTAAATATTGCATCGATGTTTGCAAAGCCAAAACTTTTTTTTTTTCTTTATTGTTAAAGACCCCTGTCAAGTTTTTGTCTGGGTCCGGTTGAGGAGATTTCCCCTTCCTTCCTGCCCCCGGTACACAGCAGGAGGTATGAAAAGTGAGTGCTGGCGATTTTCCACTTTTCTAACTCTTAGAGAGCTGTCACCAGAACAAGGTGAAGATTTTTCACCTCCTGTTCTTGTAGCAACTCAAAATCACATTCTGTCCTGCAGACAGTGGTCATCAGAACCAATAGGGAGGATTACTCCAACCAGCAGACACATAAAAAGCATTACAGTGTAATAGAAATTTTACTGTGTGTGTATAATTGTTCGGAATAGTTTTCTGTGGTGTCCAAGTAAAAATCATCAATAGTTACATAATCATTACAATCATTTTTGATCAAATTGGGAGGCAAAACTGCATCATTTCCAGTTTTAACTCCTCTGCAAAGGCATCTAAATTTAAGTAAAACAACCCCCACAAAGCTTCCATCTTATTTACAACATTGATTATGCTTCATACATGGCACAAATAATGAAGTCACCGAATTCACTGCTGTCTAATGTGTGATGAAGATGCCCTGTAATAAAAGCACACCATGAAGTCCATTGCTCATCCATACTGACCTCCCAACTTGCTAGCACGCAGCTTGAACTCTTGCAGATCACCAACGGCACTTTACACCTCTCTGGAGGCCCTGGGGCTGTACTGAATGCTGATGTTTCAGAATAGGGCCCATTCTACAAAAAAAAAACAAGCACTAATAAATTATGACAGACCAGGGCAATGTGCAAACTCTCTATTTATTTATTTTTTTAAATCTCACCCCAGCTTTATTTGCAGCTTTAACCCAGAAACAATAAATCTGCCCAGGCAGCAGATTGCTGACTGTGCATTCTAGGTCTGGGCCTTGGTACACAGCACCACGGTCTTCGTTTTCGCACTTTGCCATCTCTATAGTGTAAGATGTTACTGCTGATCCGCCATCCAAACTTGGAGGATCTAGAATAAGACAATGTACACATTATTCAGTTCAGTTAAATATCCTGTGTGTAAAATAAAGAGCGACACTATGTAAAATATATAGCAACCAGAAAAAAAAAAAAAACAATCATAGCTACAAGTAGTTTGCTTTTAACATATAGATTAGTTTTATGATGGCAACACTTTGTGGATGATCGCTACCACAGCTTCTGTGCTTTACAGAGCCAGTTCATCCACAAAGCAACATAGGCAGTACCCCTAGGGCCTGGCGGATGCCCAGAGCACCAGGCTACAACCTTGATGCTTGGGCAACAAACCTGTCAATTAGCCATAACTATGCACCTCTCTATCAAATTACAAGGGAGATTGTACTTGTAGGCAGTTGGTGCCTTCTGGGGCAGTACAGACATTTGTTAGCATATCTATGTTTACCGCAAACCTCAGCAATGTCACACAAAGATGCGGGGATTTTAGGGTTAGGAACAAAGCTGCTACTTTGCCTAGGGCCCAATTCTGGTGCTTTACCAGGAGCAGAAGCAGTGCATTAGTGTGAATTCTGGTGTTGTGGTGCCCTCTTTGGGATGCAATATTGCACTGCAGCAGTCTGCAGTGGGTTACAGAGAAATGTTAGGTGACGTTTCTGATGTGATATGTTAGAGGGATACAAGAGGTGGACACATCTATACATTGCTGGACAAGAGAGTCACAGGTTGAAGGAGAATTCCTTTTTCCAGTAAAGTGATGATCATTCTGAAGACAACTAAGTAATCCTAGATGCCAATATTCCTTATGTAAAATATACCACAGCCATTAATTTCTGTAACAAACTGGGAGGAATCAAAACTGGAGCAGAGAGAATCTGGAACGGTTGTCCATGGCAACCAATCAGCTTCTAGCTTTCATTTTCAAAGCTTAACTGAACAAACTGAAGAGAGAAGCTGATTGGTTACTATGGGCAACAGCTCCAGATTCTGTCTGCTCCAGTTTTGCTAAATTCCCCACAACTTCTCCAGAACACAGTTCTACGATCACCAGAATTAAAAACATTTTCAATTATAAAAGCAAAAACTCACCCCACTGCAGGCTTAATTCCTTGGGTTTTGCTTTGCTAGCTAACCGAGGTGGTTGACATGGACCTGGTGGGACAATGGCTGTCTGCACTGTTAAAACATCTGAAACCTAAAAAGAAATGAACAGACTGTCAAATGTAAATGGCACTCATTCTGCAGATACCGTACACACATGAAACACTAAAATTCTGTTCTTGTATACGTTTACATAAAGTAATCTCTGCCTCCATAATATACAGTTCATAAAGCTAAACTCCATGTAAACGGCTAAATACACAACTGAAATACACCTATGGGAGCTGCCAAGTTATTTGTATCAGAGTCCATCCAGACAACAAAGTCCTGCCAGACAGCAGAGCCAGATGAGTTGACCTTCTTCTACTACAGTTATACAGTACAGCTAGGTGACCGCTTCTGCCTTAAGCCTGCAATTTGGCAGTGAAAGAGCAGAAGAATCTCTGATTTCAGCCATGTCAGCGCATGCAGCACACCTAAATGACCTTTAATGCCTCACCAAGAGTGTTGTAGTGTAGAGAATAACAGAAGGCTCAAATCAAATTCAGGTACTTACACTAGTTATTTATTGCATACTGGTTCCAAAATTGTGACACAAACTACTAAAAAGGGAAAGGTGTGACAGCCGTGCAACTAACATTTATAAAAATAAGCAATAGGAGTCAGCTTGCAAAATCTGTAATAATTAAAGAACTAAAAAAAAAAAAAAGGTTCATTTTGGTGGAATACATCAATCCACTTACTTGACTGGAGTCTACAATGTTGGCGCAGGACACTCTGAATCTATAGAAAGTACCAGGTTTGAGATGATCATATATATGTTCCCTATTGGACCCACTGTAAATCACATCCCATTTGTTACCTGTAAGAGGGAAAGAAATGATTATCCACTGAATTACTAAATCCAAAGAAATACGAAACAGCGATTTATAATTTTATAGATATTTTAGAAAACCAGAGACAGAAGAGACAAAAATGATAAAAAAAATATTGTACCTGAAGAGCACATTGTTTTGAACCTTAATAATGCAAGCACACAAACTTCTTACCAATTGTGTTTTCTGCAGATTCAAGGAAATATTTAAGGATTTCTGAGCCCCCATTGTCCTTTGGAGCATCTGAAAGGAAAAAAAGTGGGGGGGGGGGGGGGGGGGGGCCT